TTGTCTCTTCTCCAAAGTAACAAGCAACAGGACAAGAGGAAATGGCCTCAAGTTGCACCAGGGGAGGTTTAGATTGGGTATTAGGAAAACATTATTCACTGAAAGGTGTGTCAAGCATTGGAACAGGCTGCCCAGGGAAGTGGTCGAGTCACCATCCCTGGAGGTGTTTAAAAGACATGTAGATGTGGTGCTTAGGAACATAGTGTAGTGGTTGGACTTGACAGTGCTAGGCTAATGGTTGGACTTGATGATCTTAAAGGTCTCTTCCAACCAAAATGATTCCATGATTCTAAGAGTTTTCTGAGATTATAGTTTTGTTGTTTCGAGGACCAGCATCTTGGGAGAGCAGGAAATCAAATGCTACAAGGAAGGAAGACGGTTCTCCTTAGAGCATATTTTTTAGGAAATTCTAAAAATTAAAACAAAATCACTTTCTAAACACAAATATAAATGTAAAATTAGTAGAAATTAAAGAATGGGTAAAAATGCAAGCAAAAGGAACAGAAGTGCTAACTAAATGCAATTTATACTACAATTGCACAAAATCAGATTTTAAAATAACCTATTTTGGGCCTTCTGTAAATAATAAAGTAGTTGCTGGTGTAATAGAGAAAATGACAAAAAGGGTTATGAAAATCTAATTTAAATTTGAGTCAATGTTAGGGAGCATCTGCTGTGAGGTTTACATATGTTTATATGTGTATTTCTGTAGCATTTTTGAATGTATAAACTCATATGATTTCGTGAGGAGATTACCACTATGTGACTTTAAGTTATATTTGAAGGACATTTTTCTTTAATTTGTGGACAGGAAAGCTCAAATTATGAGACAAGAAATTATTTTAAAAGAAAATAATAAAATTATTTGCATATCTCTGTTCCCAAAATCTTGTGCCTCTTTTTGTTACGTTTTCCTCTTCTGCTTTTAAATATCCAGGTTTAAGGTTCTCAGAAGCCAAATTAGATTCAACTCTTGACTTAGCGGTAGAATAATGAAAGCTAAAATGTTGTTTGTAGAACATTATATTCATGATTCAGCGCAAGCTGATTTGACGGTGCTTTGCCAGACCTTCCTCTCTGCAACTTTGAGCTTTTTGTGTCTGAATTATTTGTGTTGTCCTTGAAACCACTTACTTTAGAAAGATACTAGAATTCTTTAAAGCTTTTTGAAAGGTGGAATTTATTTAAAAGAGGGAAACAAATAGAAATAGTATTGGAAGGTAACATTTCCCATAAGAATTTTCCCCCATATTGAGGTCTAGAAGGTTGTCTTGCCTCCTTACTTGTAGTCCAGCACTTTCAGAATTCCTTATATTAGTGTCATGGCATCTCACTATATCCATGAGCTAGTTTAGATCCTGATTTGACTACTCACTGTTGGCAACAACTGCAGAATCATATGATGTGTCTGACTGTATCCAAGATGTGTGTTGACCTACGGAGTTTTGCCCTGTGAGACATAATGAGATTTCTGTCATGTAATTCTTTATTCCTCTGCAGTGATTTTTCATCTCATAGTAAATCCCTGTCATTGTGTTCTTCGTCCTCCCAGGCATAGACACAAGGGGTTAACAAGGTTCAAAAATTTAACATTTTCTAATGTGTTTATTTGAGGAAATAAAAGTAGGGCATTTAATGCTTGTGTTTAATTATAATCTCACAGTAACATTCATAATTCTTTCAGGGGATATTATACATACATGTGTAATACAATGAGTAGAATTTTCCTGAACTACATCAATTATTTAATATTGGCCAGAGGTTGTTAAATATGAAGGGAAAATGGCTTTTGATTAAAGCTACCTATGGATATCACTCTGTATCCTATCCACTCCAGTATTGTTCACTCAGCTTCTTCCTGAGAAACAATTTCAACTTTTTATAACAATAACTGATGTCTTGTCTAATATAGCAAATCATTTAAGGGACATCTCTTGAAAGCTGACATGAAACTGATTATTTGCAGTTGCAAAAGGGTACTGAAATGAAAATATGAGTGAAATGACATTTCACTTAAAACTGTGCTGACTCTCAGTATAGAGAAAGAGGAATGTGAAATGAATGGAGTAAAATTTGGCCTAGTTCAATATACAGAAGACCAAATCTGTTGTGATTAATTGCAAGAGAGCAATTTGTGAATGTTAAAACCCTGGTCTAAGTTTGAAATAAATAGTTTTAATAATACCATTAATATCTTCTATTGTTGTTGTTTATTGTTACTATTATTTATGCTTTGATATTGCTATGGTAACCTAGAGGGTTCCTTTTCCCTCCTTTGCAGAAGGTGAGGAAACTGGAGTGATGGATAGCCTGTTGGAGGCCTTGCAATCAGGTGCAGCTTTTCGAGACCGACGGAAAAGGACACCAAGGTCTAAAGGTGAATATTCTGTTTTAGTTTTATTTTCCAGAGAAAGTTAAAAGCATTATGGTTCCGGTACTCTAGAACTTAAACACTATTGGGTTTAATTCTTTCTTGCAATGACAGCTTTCAGAGATGTTCAGGCTGTTTTACTGATGTCAGAAGCACTTTGGAGATTAATCTACTGAATTTAGCATAGCCTGATTATTATGACAAGACTCTTCGATACAGCCACATATCCTTTAACTTTTTAGAGTTTATAGTTGAATGGGGGAAGTAAAAGTCATCTTGCCCCATAAGTCAGTCAAATTATTTCACTGGTATATAAGTGTCACTTTACTCCTAGAAATATCTAACTTCTAAATAATTCTTCTTAGTAATGTCACAACACTCCAATAACTTTCAAAGATTGGTTTATTGCCATTGTCTCTTTGTTTTTGCAGACATACCACAAAATCTCAGTCCAACCACACAGCGGCCTGTGCTGAAAGCTTGTAACCATGGTAATGAACCATATTCATGAATTGCATGCTCTTCTTAACTTAGCTTGAATAGTTGATCTGTGCTTTCAAAAGACTGCTGTGATTTTTTCAGTTTTCTACATTATGGAATACTAAAACCGTATGGGAACCTGCTATTTAAGAATCACCAGAATATTACATCTTGAAACTACTTATTGATTACTTTGAAAAGCTTTTCTTTCTTTTGTGGTTTTTCTATTTATTTAAAGTTTGGTTATGTTTTTAAATGTAGTCCTTTTATAATCCTTAAGAACAATTATGCAAGGATTTTTTAGTGGATTCTGGAACTATAATAGAAAGCAGAGATTGCAGAACATTTTAAATGTTACTAAGTGTTTATGATACCAGAGAACAAATCAGAGAACATTTTGTGCTCATTCTGTTTTTCTTTGTCTTGTTTTTTTTTTGATACTATAGCTGGAAAGGTTTAAGCTATCACTTACCAATATAAATCAAAAGTAGTGATGTATCAGCAAAGTAATAGTAAATTAATCAGTTCATGGCAAAATAGTTCACCAAATTTTGAGTATGAGTCTTATGTTTATTCATTAACATGAACTATCCTGAACTATCTCACTGTGATTGGTAGGACTTGCTCAATATGTGAAAAGTTACAGTGAGGGTGTGGGTACTTAATTGCTCTGTTTGTGTTAGACAATCCACAGAATATTATTATATTAGCTGTATTTTAATTAAGCTTGAGAAGTTCAGAGTTACTGGTTTCAGTGGCTCATAACTAGTCGTCTCAGGTAAAAGTTTATATATGTAATACCCCCATGAAAGAAATATTTTTATTGAAACTTAAAAGAAGAAAAAAAATCTCCTTTCTTAGTTTTTTAAGCAGAATGCATTATCCTTTGATATTTAAATGAACTGTGGAGTTTATAAAGCAGATGCCGTCAAATTGATGATATTAATTATACCTTGTGTTTATTTCTGAAGTGTCTACAGCAAAAAAAAAGTATATAGAATTTGGCATTATTAAACACAAAATTAAAGAAAGTAGATCTGGAAGGACAGTTTAAAGATAATTAATTCACTTATAGGAATTGACTCAAAGAAGACTCAAGTATATTTGACAGATGCTTGTCTAGCACAAAACATATTGATATTTGAATAATGACTACAGAGCACATCTGAATTTATCCTATGTGTTTCTGCTTGTAAGAGCAATTATGTTGAATGTTGTTTCTTTTCAACCCATTCTGTCTAGCTAGCTAGTTGTCTGTGGACAGACAGTTGAGTTTCCAGTTTTCAAACTAACTGCATTTGGACAAACATTAGGGCCATGTTTTGTATTTCAGGTTAAAAACAAAACACCAAAACCAATTAAAAAAAAAAAAACAAGATTTTAATTCTGCAAAATTTTAGTCTAACCCAGGGACAGATTTGTACATCAGATGGATATAATTTGGTACTGATGTTTGAAGTTCAGACATTTGATTTGGAGAGAAGAGTAAAAATAAACTCTTGGATTTTTTATTTTTATCAAAGTGTTTTTCCATGGAGCATTTTGAGACAATCTGACTCTAAGACATTTTAAAATTAATTCAGCTTTTCTTTCACCTGTCTTGTTAGCTCAGGAACAGGGTAATACATCTCTGAGCTTTCTTTTAAGGAATTTATTAGTATGTTTTTCATTTGTTGACACTTGTCACTATATCTACATGTTACATCTTCCTATCTTGAGCCAACAGAGCGCTAAACTTGGTGTAGATTATGGTGAGTTCACTTATCAAAGCCTTTTTGGCTTTTTGATAGAAATATATGGTCATTGATTGAGGAAAATTGGTTTTGGGTTTTGGGTTTGGTTTTTTTTGCTATTCAGAGTCTGTGTAGGTACGTTGAGAATTTGCTTTCAATAATTTATTTTGTTATTGGGAAATCAGAAATTACTTACGTTCCATACTATCTAAAAGGAATGCTAGACATTGAGTATCAAAGTTTATTTTTAAATAATAATAACCTCACTGAAGTTAATGATGTGGCCAGTCAAAGCAAGTATTATAAAGTTTCTTTAATTTTCTGTTTCTGAGATCAACAATGTATGATGTCAGGGTTTTTCAGTATTATCCTCTGTATCATTTTTTTCTTGCACTTGAATATAGATACATATGCAATAACATTCTTTCGATGTATATGTGTATATTAAGTGATGAATACTGTATATAATGGTTTATTACTTAAACACTGTATAAACAAGAAGTCTGTGATTTCAGCCCACTTCAGAAAGATTAGGATATGTCATTAGACAAAAGTATTGGCTTGGTCTTTGATTTGCTATTTTTCCCAACCTAAAATTTCAAATGGATGCTAAATTTTGTATATCATGGCAAAAAAGCCACTGGCTTACTCTAAGCTTAAAATATGCAGAGATTGATAAAAGTTATCAAGCTGCAATTCAAGCACTTTCCTTGTTTGCTTCTGTCCTGGTTTTGGCTGTATGGGTTAACTGGTAACTGCTTATTCTGCTGAGACTAACAGATTCACTTACAGTAGATATACTTGATTAATACATGCTGCAGATTCATACCTAGGATGAACTTCCTTGACTCATCATGCAGTCAAAAAGAATTACAAGCCATGACATGAAATGTCTGCCCTCTGAATCATTCAGAGTGTAGCAATCTCTGTTGGGCAGATGCCATCAAGTTCTAGCTAGTCTCTTCCATTTCAAAACAAAACAAACCAAGAAAATGAATAAAAACTGGTTTAGTCTTTATGATTAAAGATATTTCTCTAAAAAATTGGAATACAAATCAGACCCAAGCATAGATGGGAACTAGAGAGTAGTTCCATGTCTCACAGGGGATCGCCAGGGAGAGAAATACAGCCAGAACGCACACTTCTTCCATAGCCATAATATAAATGGAAGCAGGAAGGAAATCTCTCTAGACATTGCCAGTGTCATCTTCAGTATGATACTGCTCAAGGTACTCACCTAGCACTTGCTCGTGAGGCTGAGCCAAGCCCTATAAAACAAAGTAATACAGAGGAGCATGCCAACGCTACTTAGCTCCAGAACTGAGAACTGATATTGTTTCCTCTTAACTAAATGGACTGCTTAAGAAAACAATGAAGAAATAGTAAATTTAGTGGAATCCTAACCATTAGTTGGCCATTTTTCCCTTCATCATCTGTTGAGCGTCCCAGAAAGCTCTGATAGTGTTCAGCTGGTATTTCTGATTAAAAAGGAGTACTGGTTCTCATGCTAGATCTCAGCATAGCCTCTTGGGTGTGTTATTTTATTTTCAGTCCTACTGCACTCTTCTTTTATTGAACAGATTGCCTCTTTCTAACATGGTATGTGGGTTTTGTCAAGTTTAAATCTACTCTATTTCTGTGAACAGAATTATCAATTGTATTTTTTCTGCTTGTGACAAGGCCCATCAAGTCAGATAATTTCTTGCTGAGGAAAAGCCCTGCTGCATACGTAATAGAAATAATATACATTTGGAATTGCTAGATCTTGGAAATGTTCTAACACCTTAAGAATACAAATAATTTTCACTAGATTTTTGTTGACGTAGATATGATTGATATACTTGTTTCTTTCATTTCCATTCATGGTGGTTTGTATTTTTAAATTAAACAACTGAATTACATGTATGTTCAAAACTACCTGTTGATGTTACAGTTTGCTTTAACTGCAAAGAGCCATAAACTGCAGTCAATATTGTGGTATATTCTTTTGCTGTAATTCCCATTCAGAGCACTGTATGACACAAGTAGAGTATTAGTATAGTTTTAGTGATGTACTTCGCTAAGGTTTTGATTCAGTAGCATCTGGCAGGGGAGCTTTTTTATTTTATTTAGGGAGCAGAAGAAAGCACTTAATTTTCAATGATCAGGATTTTGCACATTAGAAGATCATTTCAAGCAGCTAATAGCTATGGCTGATCTGAATTTATCAGTTATTTACAACAACAGTCAAGGCATATATGCAGCTTGCACATTTATTTCAAGCTAGTTAAGTTCAAATACACATGGCAGCATATCCAAGGCAGCGCAGAGCCCACAGCAGCACAGAAAGCTGCATTATTTACTAAGTTTTCGGTCAGGCTTTGCAGCCTGCATCAAGTTCTCTGCTGCTATGGCTATACATTGATTTACAGTAACATTAGCCAAGGTAGTGTTATCTGAAATGCATGAATATGAATTTGAGATGCAGCTTTGATTGCATGCATATGTACCTCAAATGCAGCAGAAAGTGTTTTTCTTTACAAGTAGATGGTATTCAAAATGCTGAGTAAAGAAAAGCTGTAATAAAATGGAAGCAAAAAAATACAGATTGAGTTCTGTGACTGCAAAAGTTGAAAGAAATCTTTCTGTTGCAATTAGTAATTGGGTTGTGGACTATACTTCCAAAGGTAACGATGAGGTCTTGTTTCTATATTCAAATCAAACTTCCATGGTAAGAGATAATCGTAATTACTATGGCTGTTTGTTCAGTAAATCTATAAACAATAGAATAATTTTCATGCCACATTTAGTCTGAAGCATTTTGAACACCTCCGTTAAATACAATCCTTGTCAAGCAACATCATTCTGGTCCCAATTAAGCAGAAGAAACCCCTTTTTTCACGTTCGTTGGGTTTTTTCATCTCTTATTCGTAATAGAACTGTCATCTGAGGTTCATATTAGTGTCTCTGCTACCTTATTTTTGACAATCATAGCTGACAATGAGCTCAGGCTCATCTTAATTCTTGAAACTGACAGTGCAACCACTTAGAGGTCGCTATTTTATTTCATCATTGCTGTATATGACAGCAAACTATGATTGACAGGTCAACCTAATTTTTCCTTATTTTTTTCTTAAGTCTGGGTGTGTTGCTGTCTTTTCCACAGCTGTATGTAGTGAACATTAGAAAGTACCTAACATTGGAGAAACAATGAAACCTGTGAAGATAAATTTTTACCCAGCACATGTTAGTAGTAAAGATGCATTCTTGAGCACTCCCAGTTCTTCATGGTAGATACTGTGAAGGCACTGTGCATGTT